ATTGTTTTGCCTAGTGTATAATTTTGGCTTAATCCGGCCCTGCTTGCCGCACAGAGTTTATAATATAACTCTTCGATCACAATATCCATTAGATACTTATAACGCGTTATACATCAACAAAAACCGTGATACTATCATAGATATATAATAGTACACTTTAGAAGTTTCAAGTACCCACGAATAATATTATTCAATCACAACAAAATAACTAAAATCGTAATTCTTGGTTTAAATATGAAATTTTGTCTAAATTTGAAATTAAAATGTCTGTAAAAAATAAGTGTGTTTATATATTTTTTAGATTTTTTGGTTACAGTATGAATTATTTAAGAGAATCTTTGTTTTAAATTTTCAACTCTTAGTTATAAAAACAGAACATTTTATAATTTTTTAATTCCAACGATTGATAATTTTCGAGATTTTGATAAATTTTGTCAAAATTCCAACTTTAAATGCTTATAAAAAATATAACCAAAATTAATAATACGTAAAACTATTACTTATAAAATAACTATCATGCACAAATAATTAAAAGAAATTACGTAAACGCGCGTCGTACGTTGGAAATGGATGAGTACCTATCTAATAACACGTAAAACGTTCGACCGCCTATGCTACGCGTGTTAAATTTCGATACGGTATCCCCTCACCCGTTTCCCTCGCCCTGTTCCGCGATGTTTTATGCGTACGCGCTTGTACTACGCTCGAATATTATAAAAAACAATGTCTGGTTAATTACTCCGTAAATCCCTTTAATAATATTCGACTTTCTATCCCTTATTTTTCTTATCACTAATTTTTTTTTTTAAATGGTTTAATTTCTTAATTTACGCGCTCTACCATTTAATTTTCTAAACACTAAAAATTAATTTTTTATTAATAATTATTCTATCAACTTATTCGTAGTAGTATTTTTCTAAATCTTATCCTAGGCTAGCCTTATAATTAATTCTTTTTCCCCAAAACTTTTCAAAATTTGACGTCAATTACTTTAACAAGGTCATCTACTGCATTTTAGTTCAAAATCTATTTTCTTCAATATATCAATTAATTTACTTCAACAATTCTTTATTTCAATTCAAAAATTCAATATTTTACTTTAATCAATTAGGTATTCCCATATATAATTCAAAAATGCTACGCGCGTGCATCAATTTCCTAGATCAGCCTATCGCCGGCTACTTTAATTTATTAATTAGATCAGTCCCCGCTGTCTATTACAAAATACCATAAAATATTTAGGTCAGTCCCTGCTGCCTATCACAAAAAAAATCTTAGATCGGTCCTTGCCGTCTATTTACCACAAAATCTTAGATCAGTCTACAGATGTCTATCACAAAATACGTATATAGTTCTTTTCAAGCTTGTTTCCTATTTATTTATTTTTTTTTTATTTTTTTTTATTCGAATATTTTCCCTAATATTTTACACCACCACCAAGTATAAAATGAACGCTGATTTTTTAAAAGAAATCAACGTGAGACGTGCACTTATAACTTATACAATTTTAATTATATCTATCTTTCAGCTTAAATAATATATTACTCACAACAATGCTGTCGCCACTGCTGTGTTCATTTTCCTTGATTGTCTGCTGGCCCGTCTTGAATTTGTTCGTTGATTCCGGAGTCGCCTTGGTTGATCAGACCTTGACTGTTACCTCCGTGGAGCTGTCGACGTGGTGTAGCCGCTGCGTCGGGACTGGACCTCCGAAGTTGAATGTAGCCGTATTGACTGCTGCATGGACTCGCCTTTTGAAGTTTAAATCCGCTGCCTTGACTGCTAGACTCGCCTTTGGAAATTTAAATCCGCCGCTTTGACTGCTCGCCTCGTCTTAACTCCTTGAACCTCCTTTGTTCGACTGCGTCAGTGTAATAATCTTAGAGCTCGGTACCTACTATCGTAGTGCTGACAGTAGATAAGTGACTACCAAGATGTTATAGATGCAGGTCGCAGACACTTTATCTGATGTCGAAGTCGTGGTTGATGAATGAATAAATAAACAGTTGTTGTATATTGTGAATTTTATTAAAACGCTCGATAATTTTCTAAGTCCAAAATAATATTGTACAAAGTGGCGTGAAGGTGCTTGCACTAATGGATGGTAGTACACGTCTGAAAACAGGCCGATTCGGGCTCCCTTTTATATGAAGTTCCCCGTAACCCTTGCCTATGGATACTGTATCTTTTTATATTTTTATATTGAATATCGTCGCGTACAGCGTTGTAATTAAAATAATCATTCTACTATTTTATATTTTTATATTTGAACATTGTCGTATACAGGGCTTCCTGAGTAATTATATTATTCAGTGAGCCTGTCTTCTTATGCTAAACAGTAGGAAATCCTATTTCCGTTTCTAATATCCGATTTATGCCGATTTACAGTATATTATACTAATTATGTACCTGTGGAATCTGTTTTATTGTTAGGTAGTAACTTGCTTACTACACATGCCAGCCGCTGGCTGTTTATTTGGTTTACGTTATTGCCTATTGGCATGAAATTACATCATTTTTTATATCTTATGCATTGGCAGTAGGCCAATGGAATAGTTTTAAGTTATACGTTCTTTATCAAATTCTAAAACAATTAATCCTTTATCATCCGTTAAAATTGTAGGTATTTTCACTAGACATTTTAATGTTAAGAAGTCCGTGCCCAGTAAGCTATAGGCCCTACAGCTTTCCCAAATACCATGCATTTAATAGAAACATTAATATTATCAAAAATTACAATGGTATTAATAAATAATAATACCAAGTAGTCTAATGTTTATCGTTTACAGTAATTAGCTTTACTCAATCTATTGCCTTTGGAGTGATTCCTAAGGATACACTTTAAGCATGAGTTATAGACGCTGTGGCTAAATTGTGTCTACTACAAAATTATATGCTACGTTATTAATTTTACCAACTACTCCACAAAGTCTTTGACCTGGTTTGAATGCAACCAGAAGCGAAGTTGGATTAGGTAAATGTTTTTATATTGTTACTATTTTGTTGGATTGCCATTAATTTGTGGTTGTTCCGACATTTTTCAGACCAATTTTCAATTTTTTAATTCGTTTTGAATAACATGATCAGTAGACAGTGGTCACTCATGACTGGTATATTATTTTCATTGATAAATTATTATACTTTATAATATACGTATACGTACTCATCGTAAACATAAATATTGTCATAGGCGTGCGCACGGGGTGTTCCGGGTGTGCCTGGGCACCCCTTGACATTTAATTGGGGCCCTAAAATATTTAATATTTATTTGATGTTTAGCATTGTACAAGTTGTTCATGAGAACAGGTAGTTATATTTGAAATTAAATATTGTGAAAAGTAAATTCAGAAGTATCATGACCCAATACTGTTTGGAATCATTAATTTTACTTTTTACGGAACAAGAAATGGCCTCTAATGTTGAAGTAGATTTAGTTATTACTTATTAATGAGTTTAATAATTTAAGTAATAGACGCATATTATTATAAATCTATAACTGTTGTATTAGAATGTTAAATAAACATGTAACTAAGTAAGTAATATTTATTTGTACAATATAATTTACTAAAATATGTATTATTATGTACAATGTACATGTCTTGTTACGAGAGGGCCCAAGTTAAGGAAAGAGCCCAAAAATATTGTAGGAAACTAGGAACCCCCCGAAATCCAGGTCTGCGCACGCCTATGAATATTGTGAATCAAGTATTACCTAATTATTAATATTTCAGTTATTACAATCCTTACTATGCATAACATGAGGGTTTTCGCAATAGTTTGAAACAAATCGATATTGGAAAAATATTTATTAATTAATAAAGAAATGTTTATGTTTCAACTTTTCAAGTATAGAAAATTGTATTTTTATAATTTTATTTGAATACGTTGAAGAGCTTTTATCAATCATTTGTGTCCTTTCGTTTTTTTAAGGTTTTATGAAAAGAAATTGTAATAATTTGTTTTCAGAAAGTCATTGATTGCGCCGGGGACGGAAAAATATTTAGCCCGTACGGCCCGATCGCCATTTACGTCGCGCGCTCTACTCACACACCGACCGACCCGTGTAAAGATGTGTTACCTATGTGTGTGTAGCGACTCAAAGGAAGTGGATGGGGTCGCCGAGCAAGACCAGAGAGTGCTATTGGGTGCGTTCCGGCTGGACGCTTTCGCGCTCACAGTGCTCACAATAGCGCTTATGATTATGAACCGTTCCACTAGAAAATAATCGCATAGAATCGCTTTGCTTACGTTCCAAGTGGAACGATGTTGAACCTGCCATGAGCGCTTAGACCGTGTTATCATTTTATCAAAAATGAAATTGATAACATAATCCACAAATCTAGTTTGTTTTTTAAATTCAAAATTGTAATAATCTGCTAACGTTTTGTTTCTTTGTTTTTATAATGAATAATTTGAATGATCGTGCGTTAGTTATTATGGCTATACAACAATGCTGTGATATTATATTTTCTTCTTCGTCGGATGACAGTGAAGATGACAGCAATGAATTGTATGAATACGTAGTACAGAATCTTGAGACTAAAACTGCAATACCTAGGTTGCAGAATTATGTTGAAACCATCGTACCACAATTCAATGATGGACAATTAAAATCTCACTTCAGGTTAGTAGTAGGCTTTTAAGTTTTTAATAAGGTTAAATGTAAATATTCTACATAAAATTATTGTATTATTTTTTAGGATGCTTCCAACCACATTTGAATATGTATTAACCCTAATCGCTCCAAAGTTAAAAAGAATGAAGCCGGGGTACAAATCTATTTCACCAAATAAACAATTTTTAATTGCGATATGGAAAATGGCTACTCCAGACTCTTACAGGTACTTACCTAACCTAACCTTCTTGGTGCGATTGATGGGACACATATTAACATTCCTGCACCACATGACCATCAAGAAACTTATGTTAATAGAAAAGGCACCATTCAATTCAATTACAAGTATGTTAATGTTTTAATTTTTAAATTTTATTCGATTTTAATGAACTGTTTTTTTCAACAGGCTGTGTGCGATCATAAATGTCGTTTTATTCATTGCTATGCTGGGAATGTGGGTTCAGTACATGATCAACGGGTTTTCAGATTATCTGAACTGAAAAATTACCTTGATGACGCAACCAAATTTCCTAATAACACCCATTTAATTGGTGATTCTGCTTATACCTTGCATGAACATCTTATGGTTCCATACCGTGATAATGGGCACTTAACTCAAAAGCAAAAGAATTTCAACTTTTGTCATTCCTCTGCAAGGATGGCAATTGAACGGTCTTTTGGTTTCCTAAAAGGACGGTTTCGTAGTCTCCTAACAACATTGGATATGAAGCGTGTCGATCTAATTCCCAAGTATATTATTGCATGCTGTATTTTACATAATATATGCTTATTACAAAATGATGAGTTTCCTGGTCTACCTGAAACAACACCGGTAAACGAAAATATACAAGCTCGTGGAGAGTTGGTTGCAATTAATCGTCAAGGAGCATTCAAGAGGGACAATTTGTGTGATCAACTACCTTTTCGCCATATATAGTGTAAATACAATGATATGTTTACAATAAAAAAAACTAGTCTGAATCATAACAATTTGTATTTTATTTTTATATAATTATAAGTTAGTACTACCATCAAACAAAAATATATATTATATTAAATATATATCACATATATATTGACTAATTACAGTTAACAACATTAGTTCACAAATAAATATCAAACAAATATATTTTCAACCTTTGAAATATTGAACATAAATATATAATGATAAAAAAAAAATAATAATAAACAAAATAAATAATAAAAATAATAATAAATAATAAACATATCTAACAGATTATAATCCTCGGTCTTAATATTTTAAAGTTTTACAAATCACATATATATTGACTAATTACAGTTAACAACATTAGTTCACAAATAAATATCAAAAAAATATTAAATTTTGATTGACATTGAGGACCAGTTACATTGTAAGATTTTTTTAACAGTTCATCTCCTATTGATTGCCAAATCTTTTTTTGGGAAATCTTCCCTGAACAGAAATTGTCGGCAGTTTTTCTATATTCTTCAATAAGAAGTAATATGGCCTCATGAGGCCATTTAAATACATTGACATCAACTTCAGCTGTCTGTTCTTCTTGTACTGTTCCAGAATAATTATTCTGTGATGTCTGTTCAAGTTGTTCTGTCGGCTGTTGTGAATCAGATTTATTTTTCTTGCATATATCCAACATTTCAGCTGCGAATACCATATCTAAGAACAAAAAAAGGTGGGTAAGTGGATGTCGCTCTGCTGTACAGTAGGTTACAAGTGGGTCACTGTATAATGGATTGTATTAAATTTGAATTCAATGATACAATATCATTGTATAAGAAAAACGATTCTGAGCGAAGACGGTATGTCAGTCTAGGTTTAAGACATATTATATACAAATCTATGGTAATAAAAAAAAAATTGACCTATAATAAATTCCAAATTAATCATATCACAATATCCACTAGGTACTTATAACACGTTATACATCAATAACAAACCCTGATACTTATCGTGTACACAGACACAAAAAAAAAATCATTGTAAAATCAATACATTCATCGTTTCACTCAGAATCTAAAATTCAAATTGAATTCAAAATAAGTTCAAAAATTTGATTTACTCTTATAATACCTGTATTTATACGATTCGCCTCATCCCTCGTCACATTTAATGTGTACGTTTCTCCATCCACTCCATCCATCAGTATAATAGAAATTGACATATTATTACTATTGCTATTATTCATATTACTATTGAATTAAATTATTAAACTATTACTGCTGTAATAAATGTAATATTAATAATAAATATTACTGCCGTACATTTATTTTCAAATTGTGGTCTGTGATAAACTGATAAGATATCGCAAACGACGCAAACGCTTACGCTGCACTACCTATTTCATTTGAGCGTTGGTGAGCGCGTGACGATGACGTAGAGCTCAGATCTCGTGACGTCACGGTTGTAGTGTGAGCGCTTATAAATGCCAAGTGGAACTCACTGGGAGCGCTCATGAGCGCTTGAAGCGTACAAAGCGTCCAGCCGGAACGCACCCATTGTGTGGTGGATGTGTAAGTGTGTGTATATGTGAGAGTGTGTAAGCTTAAAACTATGGGACAAGAGGTAACCATAAGATGGTAACACAGTTGCTGGTAAAATGAGTTGCTGTATTGTACACAAAATAAATAATTATCTACGGATACAAAGAATATAAAAATCACAGCAACATAAAGGTATAAAAATATGAGAAATAATATTATGGTCCTTCTGGCCCAACAAAATATAATAATAATAACATATGCCAGCTATTTGAGCTATATGGCTAGTAATTGGTATATAAATAATAAATAATATAAACTCAGAATTTACACGGAGCCCGGCTGGACAGCTGCTCCTATCCTTTAAGCACACTAATAGTATATAAGAAAAAACAATATATAAAAAAAAACAATATTATAGTACAAAAAAACTTCTAGCCCTTTGGGCACACAAGAACAAAGCAGTTAATTAAATTAAGATTATAAATTTCGCAATTTACAAATAATTATAACGTGACAGCTGCGGTTTGCGCACAAGAAACAATAACGTTTTTTACGCCATTTGCGTTTTGCAAATAATATATTTTGCGGTGATTCGCACCTTACAAATTACAATAACACTTAACAAGTGGCGATTAGCGCTCTCAGAAGTGATAACAATTTACGGCTATTTGAACTAAAAAAGGTATAAAATAAAAATTACTGGCGATATGCGCCCGCGAACAATTAATACATCGCATTGGCCGTTTGTAGCGAACTGGTGGGATAGGCGACCGTGTTAATTGCTCTCGTTCCAGCTAGACGGCGGCGGCTGGTATCGAGTCACACAATCTACATAATATTATAATATAATAATTCACAAAAACGAAATGATTTATACAAAAATAACGAAGATCATAATATGTGACTGTGTGTGTGTGTGTGTGTCGGTCGGTGGCGATGTCTACAGCGCTATTGTGGCGGCGGCGACAGTCATAGTCATAAGTCGATGTCTATCCAAATTTATTTTGTCACATAGTGATAAGTCCATATAATTTTTTTTAAAAATGTCATTAAAATAAATAAATAAATATTCCACGAATTCAACTTACATATTAAAAGGAAACCACATATTATACAGTTAAGTTAATTTCAATTTAGAAAAACGAATTTATTAAATATTGCTTTAGTAAAGCTGGTGTCAAAAAAGTTAAAATTTAAAATAGCTCTCCTGCACAAATACACAGTTTCAGTTTTGTGACTTATAACAAGTGTGCACTAAGCCGTAGGTATATTATAATAAACTAATGGACAGCGCTTAAGAGGACGCCACACCCGCATGTGTTGTCTCCTTCTTACAAACGCATCAGATACCAAATTTACGCTCAGAAATTCAAGTTTTTTAGCTTAAGAATTAGAGTGAATCGATCTATTTTATAATTCGATGGTAAGAACGTTATCGTTGTTTTGTTAGAAGTTTTTTTACGATAATTCAGTTTTTAAGCGAGTTATGAGCATTTTTAATTCACATTTATTATACACGCTATAACTCACTTAAAAACTCAATTATCGTAAAAAAAACTTCCAACAAAACACCGATAACATTCTTACCATCAAGTTATATAATAGATCGATTCACTCTAATTCTTAAGCTAAAAAACTTGAATTTCTGAGCGTAAATTTGGTATGTGACGAGGTTGTAAGACGGAGACAACACATGCGGGTGTGGCGTCCTTTTATCTGAGAGAAAACATAACATATTATGAACATAATGAGAGAGAAAAAACATGTTTTGGGCTATATGTTTTAGCACACTGTAATACTGTATACGTAGACGATCAATATTCGATATTGACAATATTATTGACCGTATAAGTTATATTGAAAATTTCAAAACCGTTTTGACGATTTATTGGCGGGTTTTTACTTTTTATTGATACAATGTTAGGGGCAATGTGGAATAAGGGGCAAAGTGTACATTTCCCGGTCAAACCACGATTTATTTTATTAACCAACTAATTAGTTAATATTAATATTATTTTTTTATTTGCATTATAAATTATAATTTTATTATTTACCTATTTATAATAAATTAAAGTATTGTTTTTTTTTATAATTTTAGATTTTTTTCCTATTTATAATATTTTTAAAAAAACAATTATTATTAACTTTAGTATCGGGGGATGGAGTGGCCGAGAAAATGTTATGTATTTAGGTACTGTAATGTGTAGGGTTAGGATTTATATGCTCTAAAAAACTATTAAATATTCCCTAAAAAATATGCTGATATGTTGTAAAAATTACTTAAATATGCTCCAAAAAAAGTTGGTATATGCATTTATAAAAAAAAAATTATATAAAAACGTTTATTCAAAAAATTAGAGGTCAAAAAAATTTTAAAGTGCTAAATATTTAAATTATAAGTAAAATAATAAAATAGTATTTATATATTAAATTTTTGATGGTTTTGATAGTCGATTTTGTTCTTTTTCTGTAACAGAACAAAATCAAAAATATATTTACAACGTTTAAAACATCATTTTTATTTTAACTGACTTACCAACCAAATTAAATTGAATTCAATCTTAAAAATGTCGATGAATAAAAAATTGAAGAAAAAACATTTCATTCATTTTCTCTAACAAAATTGAATAAATTATTTACTTTAGATATTTATTTTATTTTAAAATTAATTTTTTCAATTGACTTACCATTAAAATGTGAATTGCATTGGATAATCAACGTCTTTTTCAAGTTTTCGAAGATGAAAATTGTTCTTGTCCGCTATATCACGCGCGTTTAAAATTGGGTGAACATTTACGGCGATTGAAAACCAAAATTTTTACAAATAAACTCAAAAATATGCATTAAAAATCCAAAATGCTAAAATAATCATGACTTTTAAAAAATCTTCAAAATATGCAAAAATATGCAAAATAAAAATAGCACATTTTTAATTCCCAGTATATGAAACAGATTTTTATCTTACTAAGCTATCTTTTGGACTCACTAAAAAAATATGCAAAATGCTACAACATCCTATCCCTAGTAATGTGTTTTAGAGTTACACCAAAAACCAAAATAGACTTTGTCGAAAATCGATTTTGCGTACAAATTCTTGTTTTTTTTTTGTTTTTCAGGGCGCTTTTGAAAACTATTGAGAAATTTTTACTTTTGACCCACCAAAATACCAACTAGATTCACTTTCCTATCAGAAAAGATACTGTTGAACAAAATCTAAGCACTTTTACTGTCCTACAAGGTATTAACAGATGAAAAAAAATTTTTTTTAAAAACTCACACACACCCATCATCATAAAATCAATACATTCATCACTCCCCTCAGAATCTAAAACTAGTCACATAAAGTATGATACAATTTGTTATTCGAAAATCGCAATCAATTTTGTACCTACCTACTAGAAACGCACTGCTGTTTAATTCGTATTGAACTTTAAATATATATATATAGTATATACT